ATGTAGCTCTATACAGATCAAGAAAGATAATTGCAACAATAAAAATGGGAAACATCTAGAATATATGCATCAGCCCAAAATTAACATTGCTACAAGCCACTGCCTTCACCATTGCCAGCTATGGATGCAAGTCATGGGCCATAACCAAGAGAGAAAGACATTAATGCTTTCAGGATGTGGGTATATCACAAAGTTCTTAGAGTGCCATGGACAGCAAGATACACTAAGAAGTGGGTGCTAGATACCATCAGAACAAGATACATATTGAGAGGTACTAAGGAAGCTCCATTACTTTGGGCATCTTATGCAATGAGGTAGCTTAGATAAGGACATTTTCATTTAGTAATTTGTTCAGTGGAATCACATATTAAACAGAACAAAAGTATAATGATTCCTCTTGGAAGATCCTATAACTATTTTGATATACTCCAGCAGTTATCTCATGTCTGCATTATTAATCTCTTAATTACAATTGTGGCCAAAAGTTTAAGACTACAAAACATTTTTTTAATGAAATAAATTATGGATGCAAAACTTTTGACCCCCCCCCCACAAAAAAAAACACAAAAAACAATAATCTCTTTTGATAAGAATGATTTTAAAATGTTTGCAAATAAATCAATCAGCAACAATTGTAGGGAGCATCTTCATAATGTGAAACAATTTAGTGATGATACCAGAATTGAATGCACCATGGCTGCTACATTTGTCTAGGGAAAAGAATAACATAATAAAAGAATTGGAACCAATGGGCAGTTACAAATATTTAGGTATTTGTGAAAGAATCTAGAAGTGTGACCGTTCAACATGACCTTCATTACATGATTTGTTAAGAGTGATTGGATTAAGCATACCATAGTCCTTGAGGTTGTGAAGAAGGCCAGTATGCTCAACCCGGTCAAATGCCTTATTGACAGAATTAAGCACACATTAATATAGGAAAAAAAGATAAGAAAAGAATGTTACCAGAGAGTAAGAAACTTTTCAACACTGAATTGAATTCCAGAAACAAAAATGGAGCCATAAATGAATCAGCCATGTACATAGTCACATACAGCCATAGTATTTTAGATTGGTTAATTGTAGAATTTAATAAAATTTAAAACTGACAAGTTATTGTTAATACATCATCCAAGAAGCAGACATTGACTGATTGCAGAAAGGAAGGAAGTTGTGGATTAAATCCAAAATTAATTAAAGACTGCTACTATGGGTTTTTTTGTACTTACACCAAACCAAGGACTGGATGTTAAAATGGGTTTTAAAAGACGAAGGGTACAAAAGATTGAAGGATACAGCAAAATATCTTCAAGGAATACAAGCAAATAAAATGGAGTTCAATGAAAGAAACTGTCCCCAAGTGAAATAGCAAAACAAAAAAGGTAAACAAATTGGCCTTTAATATACTAAGGAAAATGCACATAAAAACTTTGAATGGCAAATATCCCAGTAGAGACAGTGATCCTGATATTGATCAAATTCTTACCCATTAGTAACTGGCATGCTCTGACCTCAAGCCAGAAACTGTTGATGCTCAAGATTAGCATCTTCTAACTAGGAATTACCATACCAGGTTCTGAATATTGATATCAGGTGATTATATTGTATGCGTCCAACACCCCAAAACACATAATCTCTGGATGCAGTTGACTGGCAGTGGACTGGCAACAACAGAATATTTACAACAGCATGACAGGGAAGGCCAGTACATACACCGAGCGATATGATGTGCATTTGGCCAACTACATGGATGAACTATTGAGAAGATAAACTTTTACAATCTTGCGCAAAATACAAATGCCACAGTCCTTTGGAATTTTGGTGTACAAATAAACACAGCAATTCAGGCTAATTGACTTGATATTATCATTAAAAATCATTTTGAAAAGACATGTTTGTTTGACAGATGTCAATTCCAGCTGACAAAAACTTTTGCTAAACTAAGCAAATACAAGTATCTTCAGATAGAAATTGTTTTGAGATGCAACATTTTGCCAATTGCACTACCTGTAGTCATGGAAGCACTGAGTATGATATTGAAAGATGCAAATCAATATATAGCCCAAATTCCTGGCAATCTCCCAAAGAACAAAACAGAAAAAATAGATGTCATACTCTTGAGAACAACACATATGCAAATTTCTCCCCTTGTAGATAAAGGAAGTTTTAAAATACAGTAATATTTATGAATTGCCTTTCACCGGTTCCTTGGAACTGTAAATTTGCATATTTTACCAAAAATTTACAGAATTCTAAAATTTTAAAATCTTCATAAAAATTGATTTTTTTTTTTTCACAAAATACTTTGTAACTCACCTGTTAGCACTTCAGGTGCAAAAATTTGCTGTCTCTGGTTAAGACAATTTAAATACAACTGCAGACAGACACACACATAACATCTTTATATATTTATATTTCACTTTATTTTATTTTTCATTTATTTAGATTTTTTTTCTATTTTTTTTTTATTCAAGGCTAATCCTAGAAAAAATTACAACAGCTACATATCTTAGTAAGACTGCACAAACGGAAACAAAAACTTAAGAGAGACATATTTTCCAGTCTCTCAGAGAAATTTTGCCGCAAGCCTGCTTGCTTACACCTCTATATGCATATTTTAAAAAAGGAACCAAAACAGAGTAGCTGTAATCAGAACTTGCCAAATTAGCCAGGAAAGGACGGATGAAAGGACTATCTTCAAATGACCATCATACATGCTCCTAGAATTTTTCTGCACTTTGAGATGTCTCCTTAGTCAAAAATAATTTTAAAAAAGATGATAATAATATTAATAATCCTCATGATAATAATACTTAGTTGCTAATGCTTCATCTAAGATAAAACTAATACTATTGCTATTAATAGTATTAATAGAAAAAAAAAAGAAAGCAAACAGCAAAAGTGAATTGAAAAATGAAGTAATAGCTTTGGAAATGTTAAATTAAATTTTCTGTTGTCATGTTCTCATATCTTCACAGTCAGAGCATCTGGACACTAACTGCAGGCACTTTACTGAGGCTTAAAGGACACGAGTCATCAAAAATCTTACAGAGAGGTTATCTTTTCATTTAACTCTGCCCTGTTTACTATCATAGAATCAACTGAGAATATTTGCATTTAAAAAAAAAAAAAAAAAAAAAAAAAAAAAAAGAGATCTCTTTAATATCAGGATTTTAAATTCAAATTAACTTCTGCATAGAGAAGCTAAAAATCAAAACAAAAGAACACAACTGTTGGGCTATCTGTTGTTAAAACTTCCATAGATTTCACTCAACTTGCATTGTTAGTGAGCCTCACTGCAACACAATAAGACAATGTGTTCAAGTTTTCCATTGTGGTAAACTGATTAATAATTGTAAGCTTTATAGAGAGAACTGAGTAAACCAGATAAGCTTAGTAAGAAAGATACCAGGAATTGATATGAAAGGGAAGATTAATTGTATTTTGCTCTAAGCTCTAAATCATGTCAAAAATCTACAAAACAGCCTCTATTAAAGGGTTAGATGGGTATTGACAGGGACAGAGATCCTGGTGTCAAATAAAAAAAACAGATGGGCATTGACTGGGATCGAGTCACTGATGTATCTGCTAATGGGTTAGATGAGCATTAACCGGTATGTCAAGGTTACAACAGTAACCTTATTTCAATTTCTAGCTCTTGCAAACCAGAAAATTCAGGAAGACAAAACTTTCACAGGTACAAATAGTTTATGCTTAATTGTATGCACATATATTTGTCATGCATATTTGCACAAGAACATGATCATATATGCAGACATCTTTGTTATTTATTTTCATTTAAAAAGAAAAAAGTATTCACTATTGAGAAAATAGACAGACAATCATATATGAGAACACTTTGTGTTCACTTTTTCCATCATATTTGCAGAGAATATATTTAAAAACATTTTATGGAGGATATACGTGTCAATGTGTATACAAAACTTTGAATAACATGTAGGTGATTGTCATTACAGGTCAATATGTGTGTGTGTGTGTGTGTGTGTGTGTGCATATATGTGTAAAAAAGGCCCCTTCAGATCTAACTGTTCTGTTTTCTTGGTTGATCTACATTTGCACCACCCAAACTTCCCTATGTGAAAGAAAATAAATATAAAAGATACATTTCTATTCTAGCCAAGACAAATTAGGGATTTGCAAAGGTTAGAGAGATTGGACGATGGATATAGTTGAAAGAGTTATTCTGTTGAATTCAATGGTGATATACAGAAATTGAAATCCAGTTTCAAATATACAAGCTCTTTTCATCAAGACAAGAAATTTATGCATAATTTTGTAGAGGATTTCTTTTTAGGTAACAATAACAAATCCAAACCATATGCATTTATGGATGTGCATATATGCTTAAATCAGAGGTTTCAATAATAAGGAAGTAATAAAACATTGTAATGTATGCTAATAGGAATGTGCTGTGGAAGAGAATATGCATCTTATTGGTCATTTTTCTTAAAAAAAATTTAAATAAATAAAAAAAAACAAAAAAAAAAACAGAAAAATGAAAGAATTCTTTAAAATGAAGACAAAAATATAGGGTAGAAACAAATTTTTAGTGAATGAGAAATAGAAGTATTTTTTAAAAAAAAAAAAAAAAAAAAACACTGAAAAATATGCCCCATGTTTCTCCAGCTACAAAGTTTGTAAAGGTATCAGATGGTAGAACAGTATCAAGAGATTCGACTGATTTATAAAAAATATCTCTCCACTCCCTCCATCTTTTGGTTTCAAATCAATTTTTGTCTGGTTTCCATTGTCCGTTCTTGATGCAGCTGCGTTTATCAAAACAACTGTAAGACAAATGTATTTAACAATTTGTTTTTTTGCTTGTTTTTTCATTAGTGCAGAGGAGGAGGGTGAGAACAGAAGTCACTTGGAGGAGGAGAAGGAGGAGACCCTGCCAACCAATCCAATTTGCATTTCTAACAAAAAGATTTGCTTCTTTCAGCTTTTCTCCTATACTTTTGCATGATGAAACTTGCATCTTATTTAGTCCTTAAGTCAGCAATAATAACACCAGGGTTGTCAATTAGCCGTACATGTTCACAGGTCTGAAAAGAAAAAAATATATATAAAAAAAAAAAAACACAAAAACAAGTATCAGCCAAACAGGAAAATATTTCATGTGTTTAAGTTCAACACAAAAAAGAATGTAAGCTGTCAACTGAAGCCCTTGAATTTAAAAAAAAAATAAAATTTAAAAATTCCCTTTTTTGCAAGAATCTTGCTTAAAAGAAATGTTGAGAAAATTTAAATGCTACTTAATTTTAAGAGTTTTGAAAAAAAAATTTGCTTAAAAAGAATATCAACAAATGAAAATAAATAAGCTCCTGTAAGCCAAGATTTTAATTGAACTTAACAGAAATTCTGCTTACTGGTACAAAGGACAAATAAGGATAAAATCCAGAGATGAAAACAAGCAAAAAAAAAAAAAAAAATATTATTATTATTTAACAAATTAGATATGTCTATCAAGGGAGATTACTTCGATAAAATCTAAAACCTTACATGGAGAAAGCTAAAATTAACTTGTTATATTTGACTATGGAGTCAGTTTTAGAGTGCTATTACCTAAACAGATAAGATATTATGGGAAAGTGGTTTGCCCATTTTCTGATTCACCTACAATTTGCCACCAATGATTAAAACGAAACACTGTCAAAAATATCTTGTGATAGAGAGAAGTGTATTTATGCCTTTCTTCAAAGTTTGAGGAAAGCCATATTTGCCAATTCCTTTTTCCTTGCTGATAACCGTTACGTTAGTTCACACCCCCAATAAAGGAAGTAACTTTTGTTTACTAGCACACTTTTATAGAGAGGGAACAAAAAGATCTTAAGAAGAAGATTATTCTTAATTTAGTAATATGAACCTTTAACCTGTCATAAATTATTACTGTAGCTACCAGTTGATGTATTGATATTATAACAGAATTAATTCAATAGGCGTATGACTAATAATTTTTTCAACATTTTGGAAAGTTAATATAAAATTATTATTATATATTTTCCTTGATAGTTCTAATCTTGTAAAAAAAAAAAAAATAAATAAAAACCTTACACAAGAGGCTAAAATTAGAAAATATACATATAGATTAAATATTTATTGTAGACTAGGTCCCAATATTTCATGGGGAGGAAAAAAGCAAAACAAAAAGGTAACACTGATTGTACATGCACAAACCAACCCAATTCCTCAAAATTCATAGACACAAAATAACAGTTTGGCATTATATTTGCATTGCAAATTGAATTACTTCTACTTTACATAAAGACGGACACAAATTCAGGGTTCATTTTTGTCTTCTACATACATTGTAAATTGAACCTTTTTTTCAGATCCACCTCAACCACTTTTGCTTTAAAACTTAAGTTTTGAAAATCAGACTTCTCACAAAAAAAAAAAAAAAAGTTTCTGTTCAGGCAAAGCAAATCAAACTATATTACATTGGAACATAAGCATATTGATTTATTAAAGTAAATTTGAAACAAAATAACATTCTAAATTTTTATTTGTATTTTGTTATTTATTTTAACTTAGTTGCCATCAGTAAAAAGAAAAATATTAAAACCAAATATTTCAATGCAGAAAATTCAATATTTCTATTCAAATATTTTTTTTTCTTATATGCAAAAAGAATTTTATTTTTTTTTTTATGATTTAACAAAAGTCAATAAGGATAAACAAAATGAAGTAATGTATTTTGCTTTGTTTTTTTTTTATAAAAACAAAAATTTTAAGGGTGCGTATTATGTATGATGGCATATTATACATGGGTAAATATGTTAATGTAGTGAAAGAGATAATCAGTTACCCCGAAAAAAGTTCGTGTTTTGTGTACGATCTACCAAAGAAAAATTACCAAAAAGTAGTCAGCAAAAATCTACATCAATGACTAGAAGCTATGCTAATGTTCTTCCCTCCCCTGAATGGCGTGACCAATCAGAAAATTCTCTCGGTGAACAGAAGTCATTGTTTTTCGCTTATAAAAGGAGATGATTTTTTTGAGCTTGGTGGAACGAACACGCATTGTTGTTGGTGAGAAGTGAAGGTTGGATGTGTGACCCCATATTGTCGTTTCTACGTTGTGTGTTGGACTGTTATGTCGGACTATCATGTGAACTGTGATTTGGCTACAAGTGTTGCGGCCGAGAAACAGAAGAAATCTATTGCAGTTGCTACTATCAGTTGACAGTCTTTTCTTTACTACAACAGTTAATTATTTGTAAAGATCACAAATGACCAGATTAGAAATGAATAAAAAATTGTTTTAAAAACTGGAATTTTTCAAATTTTTAAATATGCAATATGTCCACTAAGCAAGATAAAAAAAAATACACCTGCTAGTAAATGTAGATGATAAAACTGGATTTCTTATGGAAAGCCATCCCCACTGGTAAGACATCACCCATCAGGGCTAAAATAGAGAGGGTCAGTATCAATCCCAATGAAGAAGTACCAATGACACTGAGCAATTTTTGTAACTAATCATACATATGAACAGGTTTCCATTTTTAAACACAGCTATATGTTGACTACTCACCTCAAACAAAGGTGGATCTTTTGGGTGCATATGAAAACCTGCTTCTCTGCAGGATGAAATTAGTGGAAGGCCTCGTTCTGGTGTCAGCATGAAAATACCAGTGCTGAGAAGAAATAGAAAAAAAAAAACAGGAAAAATATTGTCATTATTTTGTAACATTATATATATATATATATATATATATATATATATATACACACACATACATACATACATACATATAAACAGCATGCTTTTTAAACTGATTACCTTAAACATAATTACTATTTAATGTCTTGTATGGAAATATATTTGTTACAATAAATATAATTATTTATCTAGATTGAAAACCAACTATTTGTTAGTTCATCCAATACAAGGCCCAAGGGTCGCTCATAGTAGAGGGATACTGAGTAAAATTGTTGGAAGGACAAGTGGGCTAGATATCGGTTGACCCTGGACTTAAATTGACCAAGACTGTAGTTGTCCGGGGAGCATTATCTCAGGAGTTTGTTCCACAAAGTAACAATCCTTGGGAAGATGTTGTCAAAGGAACACAAAGGGAACAGGGGATGATTTGTCATTGTGAACAGGGCATGGCAGGGACTAGCTGTGACAGTCTGAACTGGTGGGACTAAGGAATGTAACTCATCCAAACATCTGCCATAGTAATAGCAATAGAGTAGTGAGATAAAGGTTGCAGGGTGGAGAATAATTCATCATCCACAGGGCCACACAAGTGCAGATTGGTTTGATCTGACTCTTGTAAAGATAGGCACTTTCTGGGAGCAATACAATGAACTGACCATTCTCCCAGCATCTTTTGTGATAGCATGACTATATGCATTCCACTTGAGGTCTGGAGTGCATTTTCACCCCAGTAGACATTCAAGGTAAAGAGCCTCTTTGAGGGTATGATCACTAACCAGGATTGACACAGGTTTATGGTCTTCTCAGTGGTGATGAAATGAATGGCAAAAAACAGAAGAATCAAGCCCCTTTTAAACTGAACTGATGGAGAGGTAGGTTTAAGAAAATAATTGTATACCCAAATATCAAGAATTCAGCTTCAACTACTTTTCAAGCTTACAGGTATATTACATTAAACAACAGTTCTTGTCTGATCATCAAAATTAAGCAATGTTAATCCTGGTCAGTACCTAGATGGGTGACCACTTGAGAATACCATATGCTGTAAGCTTGGATGTGTAGGTGGTGTAATGGAAAGAAAAATCAGAGAGGTTCATTATATTCACTTACATTTACTTGGGAAAAGGTACGAATTCAGCTTTTCTCTTCCCAGTTAGGTAGTTAAATAGTAGGACCTTTATCGGAAAAAAAATTATCTTCAAAAAATTCTTAAAGTCAAAAGTATGTTTTGGCTTTAAATAACCCTAAAGAGGTTAATAAGCCATGAAAAATCAATAATCCAACTATTCTCCAGGCTGTAGAATAGGAAGGAAAAGCAACCAGATCTGCAAAATACTTATTTGGAAATTTAGAAAATTGATGATCAATCCATTTTATAAATCCCCGAAAGAGTTCAGAATATATCTTTATCTATAAAATGATACTTTAATAAAAATATTTAAAGTGAAAAATTTCATGGATTTAGGAGATAATAGTGTGTCACCCCCCCCACACACACACAACACACACCATGGCCCGTAAGATCGTAGGGGCACCATGTGTACTGCAGCCGCAGTAGAAGAGTTGTTTCTTGGGCAAGATAGCCTGACGGAGTGCAACCCTCTCCAGGCCGGTTTTGAATTCAGAGTTTTTTCCCTTCTCCTAGACCAGTTGCCACCCAAAGTTATAGAACCCAATATTTCCTGCTATTTACCCATAGCCAGTGTGGTGGGGAGTGAGAAAAGTATACCTTTCCCAGGGATATTGGTACATAAGTGAATGTAATGGATCTGACTGGAATTGGAACTCTGCTCTCCGATTACTTAATCCAAGCCGCTATCCTTTACTCCTTTTTTTTGGGGAGGGGTTTGTTTACTTTCAGGTAAAAAAGTCTTCCATCTTTCTGCAATGCTGATTTCAGAAATGTGTGCAGTGCATTGGCAATATATAAATGTCTAGTCATTCAGGGAAATACACATCAATATAGACATACTTTCAGTTTTACATATTAAATATTCCAGTAACAGCCTGATGAGAAAAATAAAAAATAGAGCTGATATTACTTACTCATTGTATTTTGGGGAACAGACAATTGCAATGGCTTCAGGCATCATGATTTGATATGAACAATGTGTATGCAGATCAACACTGGACAAGAAAGCTGTTTGACTAGGGTGTGTCTAAAAGAGATGATTAAATGATCTTTAGCAAAAGCGAAATTATTGAAGTTAGCAAATATCATTGATTTCTTTTAAAGCAAGCAAAGTATTTATAAACATATGACAGTCATAAGAAGTTTCCAGATTTTAAGAAATACAACAACGTTTATATTTTATTAAATAAGGATTTTTTTTCTTGTCAAGTAACATAATCACTATTAACCCTGCATTAGTCACATGGGGTATTTTGTTACCCCCAAAATCTTTTAAGTACTCATAATTTCTAGTTGGCAACTTGTTTCAACTCATTAAGGGTGTATAGCATGCAGTGTAGCTCAGTTGTTGTGGGAAACAGACAACAGGGGGATATCCATTTTTGGAAATCCATGGTGACTAACACAGGGTTAAAATTGCTAGAAAAAAAATATAAAAAAGACAAATATTTAAAAAGATGCCTTTTCTGTAAAGAATCTAAAGATTAATACTTCTAGTTGTTCTTTAATTGAAATTTCATTACTTACATGGATCCATCCAAGAGTAATTAGGCTGTGGTTGTCTTGATATTCAAATAAATCTTCTTCTTGTGCTGTTGTGCAAGTGTCAGCAGTTCCTGTTTGCTTTGGAATCAGGACATGAGTGATATGAAAGGCATTTTGAGACTGAAAAAGTGAGAAAAAATATGTAGAGAAATTTTTTACTTTCAATATTTTAACTATTTTGTTATTTAAATGAAATAGCTTTTAAAAATCTATAAAAGAATCAGTTTTAAACTGCTTGGGCTTCTTTTAAAAACTTATCTGAACTGCAAATGCATGTTCAGTACAGATGCAAAAGAGGCCAGAGTCGCATGCAGACACGTCTGTCAAAACTAGTTACATCCAGGTTTTTCCTGTTAGTAGCAGAACAGCTTGGCATGACCAATTTGTTCAGATCCGTTTTTTTTGTCAACTGTATCATATCAATAAAAGCAACAGGAAAACCAGCAGTCAGCAAGACTTGGTGTTTTGTGAAGATGGTCCTTTGGAAGATTTTGTTCCAAAAGTTGCATGCCACTAGCCGTGCTATGGTTTCTGAGGCAGTGTTATTTTGTTTCCTCCCATCTCTGCCTGTTACCCTATAATTCTTAGGAGAACAATTTGGTAAGCATTTCCCCCCAACCTCAATACAACCTCGCCTTATTTTACATAATCATTCAGATTATTCTTTAAAGACAGAAACACATGACAAGATATTAAAATTTATAAAAGGAATTCAGACATAGAAAAATGTGCTTTTTGTAAGCTGCCCCCACCTCACAAACACACAAAGATATTTTCATGTAACATTATTGAATTGAATGATTTTACAAAAGAATAATGAGTTTCTGTCTGTTTTCAAATCATGAGGCTTTCTGGTCAATGGATCAACTATAACTTATACTACCTGTTGTAACCTAGGCAAGGTTACTGAATAGAATAATCACATGAAGGTTGGTAATGAATGATAATACTTAAGACAAGAATAATACATATAAGATTCACCAGCGGCGCATAAAAGTTGTAGTCAACTGCTAGAAGTGAGTCAGGTGAATTCCACAATGAATCTCCAACTGCAGACCAACATACAGTATTTACTACTGTATTTATATGAATGTGAATTATCGTCCGTGCTACAACACTACCTTTAAAATTAATAAAAACCTCAGGTGAAAGAGAAAATGCTGTCGACTTAAGACAAGTTAAAAGACATGCAAGAGTTGCAATGGCCTGAATAAGTGCAGAAAATAAAGGATTCACAAGGAACAAAAATAACAAAAGGGCCAGAATCGTGTATATGTTTTGCAATGGCGTGTGGAGATGGCAAATTGGCGAGCTTCAGACTGAAGGTGAATTAGGCAGCACTTCGTGTGGATGGAAGTGCTGGTGTCACTTGTAGCCATTTTTATTGGCTGGTTCTGGGCACTCACTGGGTGAGTGATGGCTAGTCAGATGAATAAAAGCACAATACACTCATTCAAACGAGGATCTTGTTTTTGGCGAGAGGAGTTGTTTACCTTCAGATTGAGGAATGAAGATAGTCAGCATTTGTGGAATTGATTTGCCTATTTGACTGCATACCACAGTTTTGCCCATTGGACTTGTATATAGTTTGTATTTTTTTTGTTTTGTTTGTGTTTCCAACCAATTCTCACACAATATTTACCTTCATTTAGAGAAAATTAGTTCTGGAGCAAAATGAACTGTTTAATTAATCTATTTCCTATTACTATGTTTGTTAAACTGCAGTCTTAATTGTTCAAACCTTATGAAGCAGATATCTTTCTCTACTAAGTGATCATCTTGCTTCAATTTAATACTGAGATGGGCTTTATCATTGACATCTTTGTCATTCTATTGCTAATCTTTCTTTTGAAAGGTGTTTCCATTTTGAGTTACTGTTATATTAAACACACAAATTGAGAAAAAAGCAATTTCTATAAAGTCAAGAGTAATCAATGAATCATAGATACCATTAAAAATGTAAAAGGAACAGATTAATTAAACGGTTATTTGGCTTCTTTTAGTCGTGACTTCTGGATCTCTGCTTTATTGAATTTCAAATACATTGTTTCAAAACTTTTGTTTCATTGCATCTCAGTATTAAAATTTTTTTTAGCAATTGACATCATCTTCAATTGCCTGGGTACACTATTAATAATATGCCTATATAACAGAACACATTAAGTTTTTTCAAATTGTTGTTCATGGTAATTATATCTTTCCTTTTCCTCTCACTTCCATAAAATGTTTGTTTTAACAGCCATATAATAAAATTTTGTACTCCTGGGAAAATCTTTAAATATACTCCTATGACATTAAAAGTGATAGCATATATCCCCCACCCACATGCAATAAGAAAGAAGTTAAGAGGAAGAATGGATAAGGAGAAAAAAATGTGTGGTGGAAGAGGATGTAACTTGGTGAAGCTGCAAACTTGTATTAAGTTGACTTCTATTTTGCAAAAAACATCTACTTTCATCTGACTAGTAAGAAGAATATGTAATTACATAAGCTGATGACATTCAAGGTTGACAAATGGCAAAAATAAAATCAAGTGAAATTGATTTGCCACATTGATAATTCTACTTACAATTTTGCCAGCAAGAATGCCACAAGTCTCAATATTAGCTAAGGTATTTGACTCTGCAATCTTCAGGAATTTATCCATCAGCTGTTTTGGTACCATTACAGTCCGCAGACCATAGGCATTGTCACTGGAAGAGCCAATGCTTGTCAGGTGATTAATGCTTGGAGGCTTGGTACTTCGATCTACAGATGGAGGTGTAGTTGGGCTGGAAAGCAAAGTTAAAGAAATGAACAGAAAAAAAAAAAAAGTTATTTTACAGTTGTGAAAAATAGATTAATTTTTTGCCAATTAAGCTTTACATAATAAACTTGTGATCCTCTTGGAAAAAAGAAAATAGTGAATGCACATGTGTTTGTAAAATATGTGATGACCACAAAACATTAACAATTCAATCAGAAAAGGTAGACATTCCTGTAGCCAGAAGTGCATAATTACATTACATAGTCATCATTCATAGTTTAACATCCTTAAATAACTTCAAAGTCTATTAAAGTTGAGATTTCAGTTGTTCCAATGGCAAACTGTTTAATTAATATTACAAAAGAAGCAGAGAAACAAACTGATTCTGACACAACTAAATATATCCACTCAACTCATACAAATGGAAAGTAATAGGAGTAGATAGGTTTGTCTATTGTGTAGTTCACAATCCTACCTGATCTTTTGAACAGGAGTAGAGGTTCATCCCTAGTTTCTGTTCCCTTCTAAAGTCTACTTCAACTCTATATTCCTAATATCTCTGCCTGAACCCTGAAATTTTATTTGCTAATTAAATCTTGACCTCTTCAACTTTAAAATTAGCTGTCTACCTTTCCTGTTATCTTGCCCTTTCTTATACTAATACAACTCCACACAGTAATCCTCTACTTTGAGTGTTCCTTGGGCCATATATTGAATGAACATTAGTTTAAAAAAAAAACCAAAAAGAAAGAAACAAGACAAACAGAATAAGAAAAATAACTCTTCTCTAATATGTAAAAATGTGTTAAATATGGCCTTTCTTTTCCTGGGTCAATTGGCACCTTCAGCAGAACTGTCCAGCATGAGAAAATACATTTAACAGATTTTAGAAAAAAAGGGGGGGGGCAATTTGCAATGGAATGTCATTCCCCTAAGTTTGGATCATCTGTCACATTTAAGTCTCCAACTCTTGCTGTGATGGCAATTACCTCAAAAGTTTTACCTACTGCTTTTACCTAGGTTAAAATTAAATAGGAAACAGGTCAGGTAATACAGAGAGCATTCTATACCAAACCTTTGTTCAGTTATGTCACATTTGCACACATATCCAGGTTCTAATATTGTGACTATGACAACAATTTCATCACTGTTTGATAAATGTAAACATTACGGGATGTCAGCTGTCTGATTCATGTGATGATCCCATCCTAGTATAGAACTTTATGAAATGATATAAAAATCATCTGTGTAAGTTTCTGTTCAGAGAAACCTCCATTAAATGTATGTGGATTGGCTACCTTTTCGGTTTCTCTTCCACTTTATCTTTTTACTCATCTTACCAATGATTGAATCCCAATAGCTACTAGCATTATTATTTGTGGGAAACATTAAAGAAGAATATGACATTAACCTCAGCTGATTTACTGAATCTGCCGAGAGGTTTAACTCGACAAACAAGGTCTGTCTGAAAAGTAACAGGACTGATCATATTCTTCATTGTCCATAGCGAGTTCTTGCCACAGAGCCAAACAATCAATCAGCAAGTCTACAAAGAGTTCTATACTGATATTTCATAATTAGTATGGAAGGATTTTGTAACTTATTTTTCACTGAATATGTTAATCCCCTCTATGAGTTTGTTCAGTTATGGCATAACGTGCACAAAGAAAGCAGGTTTTCACTTTTCTTTATCATATTTGGTCTTCCATAATTCTAAGATGTTTGAATTATTGCAATAATGTTTTTAAAATTGTATAGTGATATCTATTGGCAAATATAATAAAATGAGTAAAATTTGCATAAATGTTAAAACTTTCACAAACTGATCAGTTTAGAAGAAAGCTTACAGGAAGAACAGATCAGTAATAAAGGAGGAACTATGATGTCATTAAGTTTAATTTCACTGAAAAAATACAGAATTAACATTGTATAAGAACATGCTGAAAAATAAAATATAAAGAAAGCTTTGAAAGAATCATTGAAATTAAAGAAATTTTTGTTACAGTGTGATGTGTGAGAGGTAAAAACTTCCCAAAGCATTTGATATTGTTCAAGAGATCATTTCCACCATTTGGTTACACAGATGCCAATAAGTACTCACCTCACAGAGAGGACATTTTTTTTCAGTTCCCTGTCTGGCACAGTTGGGGGTGATGGCTGTAAACTGGACGGTTTTGAATCACTAGATGGACTCACTGCATAGAAGTAGTCAGGGGGAGCAGGGGCTATGTCTGCCCCCAAGTCCACAAGTGGTCCTGTTCCCAATGTGGGAGCATTTGGTCCCTGCTTCCCTTGTTCTTGCAATTCCCTGTACCGTGCTTCCTGTGCCCTTAACCATCGTTCCTCAGATTCTTTTTTCAATTGATCAGCTATGGCTGCCTCATCTAGACGACGTTGCTCTTCAAGTTTCCGAAGACGTTCCTGCTCTTTGTTAATTTCTTCCTGTTGTTTTCTCTGTTGTGTTAGAATAATGAAAAGATGACAAAATGAAAAACAATAAAATCAAGAGAAATCTCCTGATGCATTTACAAATTATATTATCTATAAACACAGGCACAAATCATTTAAATTATTAAATTCGATTTCAGTACATTTCAAAAGCAATAAGGTGAAATGTACAAAATAGCTTTTCTACAAATTAGAATTACATTGGCATCATCATACTTATCTTTAAACCCATTTGGTCATCTGGTTTAGAATTGGTCTGATCTCAATTATTTTAAACTAACTTAAAAGCCACACGTTGTGCAAACTTTTAAGCTAGCTCCCCCAGTCCAAAACTAAAGGGACTTCTGGTCCAGTTTAGAAAGCAGAAATGATAATTTGAAGAAATAACTTAAATCACCCCACGGAACTTCAAAACCTCACTTTAATTCCAGCCAAAAGTTTGATTTAGACCAAAAATTGGATTCTTCAAATCACAAACTCTGTGAAACTTCAAACCTCACATCACAAAACCTTTCACTTTAACTCAGATTCCTTGGTATTTTGAAGAAATAAATTGATTTCCTCAATTCACATTTTTGGAGATATTTTAAACTGAATTTAAAAACAAAAATTTTTAAATTCAAAGTTTTTGTGCTAATTTAAACTCAATATAAATTAAAAACTTAAAATTACTAATTTTTTTTCAGTTATTTTAAAATTTGAATTTTTAACTGTTCCCTCTTCATCCAGATGCAAATCTCAATACTGGATATTCAAGCACAAGATGAAGTGCAGATTTTCAATTCTGGGATCATCCTGATTCCACAAAGACATATGCCTCTGTAGAGCAAGTATGGCCTGAGAGGGGTTTCAGACACACAGAAGGACAGACAGGATTTACTGTTTATTTATTTAGATAGAAGATAGATGTATACAACGCAGCCATACCAGCTGTAATATTAGACCTTTTTCTAACATAACATATTTATTTATAAACAAATTTTTCTGAGGCATGAACCTTCAGATGGGCCACACAAAAATGTTACAGGTAAAAACTTATATAAAATTTCCTAAATCATTAATTACAAACTTGATATTAAGTTTTATTATGGAGGAGGGGAATGTAAAATATTAATTTGTGCACCAATATTATTTAAGAATTCACATTTTTTTTATAAATATACATGTTAATTTTCAGTTTTATCTTGACACAAATCAAACATGGCTAAATGTAGAGATGAAGAACTGAGAAATATTTACATTAATGAGAAGTGAGTTGAAATACAGATTTGAACCATTTAAATTTCAGTTTCCTAATTGGTAGTATTATCTCATCAATAAATATACATATAAAATAAACTCTTTACAAACCTCAAACTCCAAGCGTTTATTTTCCTCAGCAGTGTATCGGTCAGTGAGATTCTTTTTTAATTTCTCTGCGATAGGGAAGACCTGTTTCAATTTCTGACAAAGAAAGAATTTATTCAAAAATTAGAGGAAAAATACTTTTAATTCAAGTCGCAACATTGTTTATACCATGTACTTATTAAACCTAAGTAAATATTCATCTGATATAAATTATTTCTAATTTTTAAATATTCACAATAAAAAATATCTTGAAATCTGAGAGGTGGGTGCAATAGTGCATGTAAATGTTTTGAATTTGTAGGTTAAGATTTTTCCTAGAATTTTGTATAAATGACGAGACCGATAACTGTTTTTTCCTCTACTAACAGAGAGTTAGAGTTCAGTTCCTGTTAAAGCATGGATTTGAATACCAACTTTTACATTTATGCCATCCACATGCAATCAGATTTGAAAAAATACTTGTAGCTTTGTATCAATTGATACTGGTCACATTTTTCCAAGCCCTCCTTTATCAATGTCCAATGAATTTCAGCTGTCTTTTCTTGATACTGAGTAAAAGTGTTATTTCTGTTGCCATTTTAAGACTTCCTTTTGCTTATTTGCTCCATTCATGGCATTTCCAGTGTCTTTCTACAGAACCACATTTCTACTTTTTCTTCATCTGTGGGAATATTATCTAAAATTCACTGCTATATAAGAGGATCGATACCAAATAGCTATTGAGCACTCTTTTCTTAACAGCACATCCAAATGATCACAGAGATGATTTTAAATGATGTCTAGGTAACAGGATACAAAACCAATGGCACCACAGAAAAAAATCATAATCACTTAAAATGGACACTTTTCTGCTGTGTCATGTATGGGGTTTTCATGACAGAAGAAATTAAAAAGGTTTACATTTCTGTTCAGAAGAAGTTTAAAATGTATTAAGTCTTTCATGATTCCCTTTACCATTTTTAAGATTTTCTTGAAAAACAATTTTGGATATATTCTTACCTACGAGTCATTTACTTCCAGGTAATTTTGCACAATTTAAAATGTAACAAGATTGGCCTTTTATCAACAACCAAAAAATCTTTTTTGCTAACATATGTTTCTTGTGTTATTTCAAACTATTTTTTCTCATCTTGGTTGATATGTTATTATAGACCCAACGTTTCAGCAAATCAATGGACACTTGATGATGACCAGAGGGTATTTGGTCAAAACATTGTCTATAATTACATCTATATCAACCAAGATGAGAACAATAGTTTGAAATAATACAAGAATATTTTGAATTACTCATATCACAAATGAAATACTAAAGTATATTAATACCAATAGGATTTCTCAGACCACTGACATCTATATGATATTAGTGGTCCAAGAAATCCTATTGATATTCATATAGTTCAGTATTTAATTCTTGGACCACTAACTTCTATACAATATTATTAGTCCAAGAATCAAGCACCTGTTTTTTTAATATTCAAATGTCTTAAAAATTTGAAGAAAACCAAAAAAGGTTTTGCTTGCAGACACAAATGAATATTCTTCCTCTAAGTGCCATGTCCCTTCAGGACGTGGACAATTACAGCTCTTAGTAAGAGCTGTCTTTTTGCTATCTCTCCTAATCTCCATTTTGCCATCCACTGACACAAGCTCATTAGATAGGTTACTTGATGCTTTCCTCTGTCCCTACTGCCTTCAGTATGTCCAGTGAGTGTCTAAACATTCTTTTATTTTCCATTTTCCTTAAAACTTTGCCATTGCTCACATGTTTAGTCCATGGCATTCTCAGCATCCTTTTCTGTTGCATTGTTTCTTTAAAAATCTTTAAGATTGTTCAACCTTCACTGCCACAAAACAGTTTAGTGCTCTTTCCTTTGTTTCTAATGAAATGTTCCTGTTTCTTAATACTTTACTAAGCTTTTGGCAGACATCATTCGCTATTACAATTTGCTTTTGGATTTTGGTGTCACATTTTCCATCCTTTGAAATCCCAGATATATTCATTTTCATACCTGCTTGATTTCAACATCTCCAGTTTTGTAGTTTATGTTGTTATGATGGTGTTCAATAATAATAAATCTTAGTAGTAATTCCAGTTCTCTCAGGATCACCTCACTGTAAGGATTGAATAAGTCCTTTGAAAAGACATGTCCTTCTCTTATGCCCCTTTCTATCTTTGTATATATTTAATGTATTCATTTTCTATCTGTATGTTGGTGTTTTTATCTTTCACAAATAAATCAAGCTTACCTGGCAATTTCAGCAGTTTTTTTACATTGTAGTACCTCATCAAAAGATTTTGCATAATCTCTAAAACATGGGTATGTATCCATCTACATTTATATTACTCTTTCTCATATCATTCTGAGCATAAATATTACATTTCTTGTTTTAGTGTAAGAGCCTGCACTGTTCTTGTCCTATTTCTCTTCTAATTCAGTGATAAGCTCTAACCATCAGAATTTGGATGATGAGTTTCATTATGCAACTTATTAGGCTGATTGTCCAATGGAGCGCATTGCATTTACACCTGGCTTCTTAAGCTCTATGAAAATAGATCTTGTTAGGTCTTCTGCTATATGACCACTGTTGTATATTTCATAATTGACCCAAAAGATGAAATGCAGAATTTTGAGCAGTAAACCTTTAAGAAAAAGGAAAGATAAATACCATGTCTTTGTAAAATTTTACCTGAAGGCACAGAACTAAAATATAAAAATGAATTGATATTTTTTCCTTTTTTTATATAAAGTACATTGATCAAAGTTCCAAGTTTATTATCTTACTTACTAATGCAGATTGTGTGTGTGTGTGTGTGTGTGTGTGTGTGTGTGTGTGTGTGTGTCTGTAACGTTTATATATTGGATCGAATTTCCTAAATTTTTTAGCAGATTTCAACAAAATTTCACAGGACTACATAAAATTACCTTGTGGTGGTTCTTACGGCGCCAAAAATGGAAAAAACACATTGTTTTTTTTAAACAAAATCTATTTGAAAGCACGATTAAGACACATCGTGAGAATGAAAGGGGGACAACTCACCCACGAAAATGTAAACAAAAGAGCATAGCATGATGAAAAAAAAAGCCGAACTTGAAAAAAAACAAAATTTTATCGTCTAATGTTCATATTATTATTAAAGAGGAAAGATCAAAGAATTTTTGGGGTATTTTTTTTTACATTTTTTAATCGTTCTTAGCACGTCTGAAATTTTCGTTAAAAATATTGTTTTTTTTTGGTAAAAAAAAAAAAAAAGGACAGATAATCAATCATTTGTTTCGATTTGATAAAATAGGGAAAGATAATTCCACATACTTTAGTGCCGTTTTTTCAATTCCCTTTGCAATTTGTTACAAGGCAGATCAATAAGGCATTGGTTCTATTTGAAATTAATTCAATATTTAAAAGAAAGTATTAAGAAATAATTTAAAAATGCTGACGTAAGAAATCTGATAGACAAAAAACAACAATATTTCGAAGATGATAATTAATAAAGAAAGAACACAGTACTTGTAATAAATTAATAAACCCAAATAAAGTTAATATTTTTTGTATTAGAAACAACGAGTGGAAAATATATTCAAATCAGAATTCTAATTATGAATCACCACAAGCAAAATATGCAATTTTTTTTACTGTATTCAATAAGTAAAAATCATAAATTGTAAAAGATTAGAGAGAAAGGCTATCTACCTTTTTCAACTGATTTCAACAAAACTTCACTTTTTTTTGGTAGGATAGCAAGATGAACAAGGCGGGAAAAGTTTTTTTTTTTCAAAACAAGTGTAATTTTTTCATTAAATGGAAAAACAAGTAGATTATCTTGTGGTATGAGATCAGGGAAAATGTTCTGCACCAAAATAGGATAGCAAGGTGAACAAGGCGGGAAAAGTTTTTAAGTTCTGGAAAAAGGAACTCGTTAACACGAGGTGTAGATGTGCACAGATAAAAAAAGTACTTACTGTGGATTTGGGTATTGTAAGTGTGTGTAGTGTTTTTGTGTTGTTTTTGTTTTTTATACCCTTTTTTGTTCAGGTTCATGGTCGTGAGAATGTTCAGTCATCTCAGATTTTGGGATCAGGCATTGAATTTGCTACTAAAAATTATTTACAACGAGCCAAAAGGGACGAAAACTTATTTGTTGTTGGTTGCATCATCTTGAAGAAAATTATTTGCGACGAGCCAAAAGGGATGAAGAATTATTTGTTGTCAGTAAGATATCCCTGTCTGTATTTAAGGTTGACTGACGAGGAATAAATGAGTCAACTTCATGGATCGAAATTTTTAGTCCGACTGAACTCAAACGATTAGTTTGTCCGTGACGTCAGAGAAAAATGCAGGAAAAACGGTAATTTAAATTTGTTAGATTGGTGACATCAGCAGGAGCTGATAAAACGACAATAACTTGTAATTAGTTTTAAATAACTAAAGAAAAGGTTTACTACTATATTTAGCTTAACGAGAAAGGAAGGGGTGTAATCAGTGGACCTTGCGGCACACACGCGCTGAAGTGTGGAAGGAAGGAGGAAAACTCTCCACAGTAAAGCGTAGATGGAATTACTGTATTATTTCCATAAATCATAACGATTGTAAACAATGTTTTCATTTGAATTTGACCAATTCGTAAAAAAAAAAAAAAAAAACTAATTAAGACATGCGTGTCCGTCAACCTTAAACAATAATCTTTGTCAATTTTATTTTTCAGTCTTTATGATCGTCCATACTTGATCTATCACTTACTGTTACATCCCCGGACAACGCCGGGCTCTACTGCTAGTCTATTATAAACAAATAACATTGCTGGTTTTTACATATTTTTGTTCAAGTAGACATTTACAAGCAGAGACTTTACAGTTTTTTTGTTTTTTTTTACTCCAATAGCCCCATCCTACAGAGAAAAGTCAATTCTCATAGATCTCTTTCCTCTCTCAAATTTCTGTATAAAACAACATTTTCAACAAGATCTCTATTTTCTAAAGTTTTTTTTTTCATTATGCTAAGGTTTGATAAAGAAATCGCGAACATTTATATGATTTTCAGTAACAATATCCTGAGAATGTCATCAATGGTTGGATGCAAAATTAAATGCTTCAAGGCTC